CTAACTTATAGGCTAAAGTCAAAGTGAACAAGCTGTTCATATTGTGAATTGAAACACAAATATATCCCGTTTTTATTCATTAATGAGAAACAGCTGATTGAAGTTATGCAAATATATAAATTACAGCTGATTCCCATCTAGGAAACACACTCCGGTGTTGAGGTTCTTTCAATCGCATGACCGTACGGTATAGAATAAAAGACGACCTCTTTGGGCTGATCTTGTGTGGAAAAGTGCACTCCTGCATAAATATGAGATTTTAGAAGGTCTGCACCAAAGACTGGTGCCAGAGGTAGAAAGGGGACGGGTGGGAAGCCACTTGCCAATATATGTGATCATCACATGGAACAATGTGGCATTACACTATTCCCGTGCAGTCACAGACTGGTTTGACACCCATCCAAGAATGATGTCCATTTTCCTTGCCCCTTACTCCACTTTCCTCAACCTCATTGAGGAGTTTGTCTCAGCCTGGAGATGGAAGGTTTTTGACCAAATTACCCTCTTGGATGCAATGGATGCTGCATGCCAAGACATCACAGCTGAGCCAGGGGTGGATAAGGCATACCAAAAGACACCTTGCCAGAGAAGAAGATATCAGGTGTGATGTGGATGAGAACATGTGGCCGAATGCAGAAGACCATGAAGATTTGATGACTTTTTAATTTATTTTTTTTATTCTTCTGTGACTTTTTCTGTTTGTATATTTTTGCATAGTAAATGCCAACTGTATTGCATATTTTTGTTATCTTGCAGTAATGTCCTGTTGCAAATAAAGCCTTTACTTCAGTAATTCTGTCTCTGTCTTCTTTTTTCATAAACCGTACATTCTATAAAGCTACTCTGAGATGGGTCATTCATTTTTTTGTATTGAATTTTTGTAGCAAAAGAAACAAAATGCATGCATTTACAAAATCCAATGAGACAAAAATGTAGAGAGGCATCAAAAAAAAAAAAAAAAAACCCCGGCAAAACACAATTTATGATCAATACAATATAGTATTGTATAAGGGCAGATCTGACACATACAGTAAAATAAAATAATGCAGTTTTTGTAATTCCATCAGATGTTAGTGTTTTTATGACATTGTGCTTTGATTGACTAAATGTTCCTGCTGGAAGAGAACATGTGTTAGTGTTTTGGAATAAGTATTTGATTTTGAGACATGTTTGCAGTGTTTTGGTATTGTGTTTGTGTATTATTAGGGCCTTTCGCACCGCTTTAGTCCCAGAACTAAATGTACAGTACTAAAGTACTGGGACGATTTTGCGCAAACTATTTCCCAGTACCATTTAAAGGGTTGCATTCGCACCGACAGTGTGTACTAAGAAGCGACGTAAGCCGGTCGACAGCGACGTCATAAATTAAATTCTGGTACTATGAAAAGGTTCCCACGGTGCGAAAGGCCCCATAGTATTTAGAAAATTAGTGTTGGAGTTTAGTTTACAATATGTGATTTTGAGCATGAAATTAACCGTTTTGCCAATTGTGTGTTATAGGTGTGTTGGTGCGTTAAGAGTTTAGAAAAATTGTAAGGAGAATTGAAAAAAAGTGTTTCTCAGATACCAATCCTAAATCAGAAGAAACACAATGTTTGCTTTTCTACCGCCCCTCCCACATGTACATCAGCAATTGCTGAAGATAAGCAGGTTCCTCTGAGCATATTTGCATGTTTTAATGGGCTATCAATCATCTGCTGCTGGCTCACATTTGAACATGTTTAAAGATAAATACAGATTACACAGTGAAACAATCACAACTAAGCAGACACAAGGTATATTGCTAAAAACATTTCTAGAAATATATATGACAGATATACAACAGATTTTGGTTAGTTGAAAGTTATTCGATTTATGATGCTCTACCAGAGGAAAATCACACTCACTCATAGGAGCTCCAAACAGTACGGTATCCAGAGCCTTGAGCTGCAGTTTCTGAAAGTGACTCCGGTCCAGAATCTTCAGGACGGTCTGTGTCAAAGTAACGTTCTTTACCGCCAATCTAGAAAAGAAAAAAAATTATTAATTAATACAGAAGTGGAGCAGAAGCGTTCTGAATAAGAGGCCAGACTTATTAGGTCAAAAAAAAATGTCAGAGTTTCAGAGCTAAAGACGAAACATTTGACCATAATAAATAGGTTTTAAATCCATGAATGATGCTCACAGCGGTCGAGTTTTGAGTGCCAAGTAATTCCTGTCTTACCGAAAATAGAATAAATGCTCAGTTAGGACAAGTGTCAAGTGTTTCCCATCACACTCGGACCAAACTCATTTAACCAGCATGTCAGAAGTTAAGAGCACAGTCTCAAACATATTTAACACATCCTGCTCTTTTCTTTAAAGCTGCGGTGTTTAATTTTTTCACTACTAGCTATCACCAAATGGCACAGAGATGACCATTTTTGGGAAAAAGAAACCAATGTACAAATGGCTTAGCATGGATTCCAGTTGTCTGGGCATATTAAACTGGGATAAAATTTGTTTTATAAATGTTATATTTACTTACACAACACCATTCAAAATTTAAGGGTCAGTCATTTTTTGAGAAATTAATACTTTTATTAAGTAAGGATACATTAAACTGTACAACAAGTGACAGCAAAGACATTAGCAATGTTCAAATATTTCTATTTCAAATGCTGTTCTGAATTTTCCATTCATTTGACCATATAAATAATAAATAATTACATATTTAATTTTATTTA